GATTTGTTTGAAAATTTTGACTTTATCCAATTTAAAAGTTGTGTTTTATTGTGTTTGACTTTCATTTGATTCAAAAATTTGTGTTTTACTGTGTTTGACTTTCATTTGATTCAACAAGCTTTATTTGAATGTGTTCGAATTTCATTTGATTCAATTATCTTATTTGAATGCATTTAATTTTAATTCGATTCAAAAACCTTTGTTTGAATGTGTTTGACTTTCATTTGATTGAAAAAGCTTTGTTTGATTGTGTCTCAGTTTCTTTCGATTCAAAAATCTTTGTTTGTATGTGTTTATCTTTTATTTGATTCAAAAGTTTTGATTGAATACATTTCAATTTCATTCGATTCAAAAAGCTTGTTTAAATGTGTTTAACTGTCATTTTATTCCAAAAGTTTTGTTTGAATGTGTTTAACTCTTATTTGATTCCAAAAGCTTTGTTTGAATGTGTTTGACTTTCTTTCGCTTCAAAAAGCTTTATTTTAATGTGTTTGACTTTCATTTGATCAAAATCTTTGGTTGAATGTCTTTGACTTTTATTTGATACAATTAGCTTCATTGAATGCATTTGAATTTTATTCGATTCAAAAGGCTTTGTTTGAATGTGTTTGACATTTATTTGATTCAAAAAGCTTTGTTTTAATGTGTTTGACTTTCTTTGATTAATTTATTTTCGTTGATGCATTTGACTGTCATTCGATTCAAAAAGCTTTGTTTTTTTGTGTTTGACTTTCATGTCATCCAAAAAGCTTTGTTTGAATGTATTTGACTTTCATTTGATTTAAAAAGCTTTGTTTGAATGGATTTAAATTTCATTCGATTAAAAAGGCTTTGTTTGAATTTGTTTGACTTTCATTATATTCAAAAAGCTTTGTTTGAATGCATTTGACTTTCATTTTATTCAAAAAGCTTTGTATGAATATGTTTGACTTTCATTTGATTCAAAAAGATTTGTTTGAATGTGTTCGACTTTCATTTGATTTAATTAGCTTCGTTGAATGCATTTGACTTTCATTCGATTCAAAAAGTTGTGTTTTATTGTGTTTGACTTTCATTTGATTTAAAAAGCTGTGTTTGAATATGTTTGACTTTCATTTGATTCAACAAGCTTTATTTGAATGTGTTCGACTTTCATTTGATTCAATTAGCTTCTTTGAATGCATTTAATTTTATTTTGATTCAAAAAGCTTTGTTTGAATGTGTTTGACTTTCATTTGATTGAAAAAGCTTTCAATTTTTTGATGAAAACAAAGATCTTCATTTGAATGTGTCTAAGTTTCTTTCGATTCAAAAAGCTTTGTTTGTATTTGTTTATCTTTTATTTGATTCAAAAAGTTTTGATTTTTTATGCATTTCAATTTCATTCGATTCAAAAAGCTTGTTTAAATGTGTTTAACTGTCATTTTATTCCAAAAGCTTTGTTTGAATGTGTTTAACTCTTATTTGATTCCAAAAGCTTTGTTTGAATGTGTTTGACTTTCTTTCGCTTCAAAAAGCTTTATTTTAATGTGTTTGACTTTCATTTGATCAAAATCTTTGGTTGAATGTCTTTGACTTTTATTTGATACAATTAGCTTCATTGAATGCATTTGAATTTTATTCGATTCAAAAGGCTTTGTTTGAATGTGTTTGACATTTATTTGATTCAAAAAGCTTTGGTTTAATGTGTTTGAATTTCTTTGATTAATTTATTATCGTTGATCCATTTGACTGTCAATCGATTCAAAAGGCTTTGTTTTTTTTGTGTTTGACTTTCACGTCATCCAAAAAGCTTTGTTTGAATGTGTTTGACTTTCATTTGATTTAAAAAGCTTTGTTTGAATGCATTTAACTTTCATTCGATTCAAAAGGCTTTGTTTGAATGTGTTTGACTTTCATTATATTCAAAAAGCTTTGTTTGAATGCATTTGACTTTCATTTGATTCAAAAAGCTTTGTATGAATATGTTTGACTTTCATTTGATTCAAAAAGATTTGTTTGAATGTGTTCGACTTTCATTTAATTTAATTAGCTTCGTTGAATGCATTTGACTTTCATTCGATTCAAAAAGTTGTGTTTTATTGTGTTTGACTTTCATTTGATTTAAAAAGATGTGTTTGAATATGTTTGACTTTCATTTGATTCAACAAGCTTTATTTGAATGTGTTCAACTTTCATTTGATTAAATTAGCTTCTTTGAATACATTTAATTTTATTTCGATTCAAAAAGCTTTGTTTGAATGTGTTTGACTTTCATTTGATTGAAAAGGCTTTGTTTGAATGTGTCTGAATTTCTTTCGATTCAAAAAGCTTTGTTTGTATGTGTTTATCTTTTATTTGATTCAAAAAGTTTTGATTTTTATGCATTTCAATTTCATTCGATTCAAAAAGCTTGTTTGAATGTGTTTACCCATCATTTTCTTCCAAAAGTTTGTTAGAATGTGTTTGAATTTCATTCGATTCAAAAATCATTGTTTTAATGTCTTTTACTTTCATTTGATTCAAAAATCTTTGTTTGAATGTGTTTTACTTTTATTTGATTCAATTAGCTTCATTGAATGCATTCGATTTTCATTCGATTGAAAAAGCTTTGTTTGAATGAGTTTAACTTTCATTTGATTCAAAAAACTTTGTTAGAATGTGCTTGACCTTCATTGATTAATTTATCTTTGTTGATGCATTTGACTTTCATTCGATTTAAAAAGCTTTGTTTGAATGTGTTTGACTTTCATTTCATCTAAAACTCTTTGTTTGAATGTGTTTGAGTTTTTTATTTTTGGAAAATAAGAAATTTATTGCCAAAATAAGAAAGTTACAAACTTACAAGAATCTAAGTAGTAACAACCCTAAACACCACATATCAATAAGGCCAAACCAACACTAAAAGTCCAAGAATCTACCGAAACCACCTTCTAGGAAGGGTGCTTGAGAGAAACAAGGACAACTACTGGACTCAAGCTCACAGCCACCTTCTAGGAAGGGTTTTGAGAGCCAGGACCAGATAAGAACATCTAAGACAAAGCAGCACACAAAAATAGGCAAAAACAATAGCTTAAAGCATCAAAACCAGCCTATACAAGCAAATACAAAAGCTAAAGCAGCTAAAAAGAAGAGAGACACTAAATCACCAGCTGCCAAGATAAGAAACCAAAAACAGCACACAAACTGCAGCAGATTTGCAGACAGACAAGCCGAACAGACAGGAACAGCAGCAGCAACAAACCAGCAACAACAGCAGCAAACCAGCAACAGCAGCAGCAGACGTGAAACAACAGCAGTAGGACGGAACAGCAGTTGCTGCATCAGAACAGTCTGCCAGAACAGAATAGCTGCAGATCAAGAGCAGCCCCAAGAAAACCAAGCTGCAGCAAACAGCAACACAAGCTGTTGCAGACTTCAGGACAGCAACAACAACCTGAAATCAGAACAGAGCAACAGCAAACCTGCAGCTCCATGTCAAAACCAACTAAGCAGAAAATTATACAATCAAGTACTTGCTTCCAACTTGGATTCTACAAGCTGAATGGAAGATAATATCCTTCACTAGAACATCAGCAGGCTTGCAACAACCAGTAAAAAAAACTGCATTCCTCTGTATCCAAATACTATAGACTGTTTCAGTGAAGGCAACTTGGATCACTTTGTTTTTCATTCTGGAACTTCTGTAGATTTTCTTCAACCATTCAATCTCATCATCAAACTGTTGAACAGGCTTGGAGACATGTAAAATACTCAAAACTTTGTTCCAAACCTGTCTAGAGTACTCACAATCAAAGAATAAGTGTTCAACACTTTCATTACTATTCAAGCAAAAGAAACACCTTGGATCATAAGAGATGTGCCATTGTAGCAACCTATCCTTAGTGACAAGCCTATCCCACAAAGCTAGCCACTAGATAAACACACTTTTAGGAGTTGCCAAGTTGTGACAAATGACCCTCTTCCAAGGAACCTTAGGGACTTGAGGCCTAATAGCAGCATAAAGCTTCTTAATTTTCATCTTATTGCCCTGTATGAAACCATCCCATCCCCCTAGATCATTCACAATATCTCTACAACTCAGAATTTTCTTCAAAAACCAAGAGCATTTAGCAGGGATAGAAGTGGTCCAACTATCTTTATGCTTGAAATAATAAATATGGACCCACTTAACCCAAAGATTATCAGCCTTGTGAGCAATATCCCAAAGTAACTTAGTGACAGCTGCCTTATTCCACTCAGGGAGAGAAAGCAAGTTCCAGCCACCACATACTTTAGGAAGACAGACATAGTTCCAAGCAACCAAAGATTTCTTAGCAGGAGCAGAGGAGCCAGTCCAAAGAAAGCATATGAATCTAGCCTTAATCTCTTTCAGAATTTTCTTTGGTAAGACAAAAATTTGAGCCCAATATGTATGAATACCAAACAACACACTCTTAACCAACCGGAGCCTCCCAGCATAGGACAAGTGTTTAGCCATCCACCCTTGAATTCGAGCAGTCACTTTCTCCACCAAGGGCCTACACTGAGCAATTGTAAGCTTCTTAGAAGAGAGAGGGACCCTACGATATCTAAAAGGAATAGAACCTTGAGAAACACCAAGAAGCTCTTTAAGTTCTGTCTGAACATCAACAGAAACTCCTCTAAAGTAAACTTCATTTTATCAAGATTAGCAGAAAGCCCTGAAGCACCAGAAAATTTCATGAAAGCTTGGAAGAGAAGCTTGACAGAAACACTATCAGCTCTAGAAAACATCAACAAATCATCAGCAAACATCATATGAGTTCGGTTTAAATTTTCACATCTAGGATGAAAGTTAAAATCAGGAGTTAACCTAAGCTCATCAAGGCATCTAGAAAGGTATTCCATACCAATAGCAAAAAGAAAGGAAGACATAGGATTACCTTGTCTTAAACCTTTCTTAGCATCAAAGGGAGGGGCAGGGAAACCATTGATGAGAATAGAATAAGAGACAGAAGTAAGGCAGGTCCAAATCCATTTAATAAACCTTTGAGGAAATCCAAGCTCCTGCATAACAGTAATCAAGAATCCCCACTCAACTGAATCATGTGCTTGCCTGGAATGAAACCTGCTTGAGCATCATCAATGAGCTCACCAATGATAACAGCAAGTCTAGCAGTTATGACCTTAGAAATGAGCCTATAAACCACAGTGCAACAAGCTATAGGTCTAAAATCCTTAACATGGGAAGCATTAGGGATTTTAGGAACAAGAGTAATTGTTGTGCAATTCCATTGCTTAGGCAAGGTCCCTTTAGTAAAGAAATCAATAACACTTGCATAAATATCATCTTTCACAATACGCCAAGCTCTCTTAAAGAAAAAGGAGTTAAAACCATCAATACCAGGAGCTTTAGTGCTATCAATTCCCTTAAGAGCAACATCAATTTCAGCATGAGAGACGGGATGAATGAGATAGCTCTGAGCAATAGAGCTAAGTTGTTTACCTCTCTTTATAGTAACAAGATCAACATCAGGAAGCCAAGGAGCCTAAGTCCCTAATAGAGACTTATAGAAAGAAATAATTTCATGATAAATAGCATCCGGATCCTTAAGCAAAACCTGGTTAGAGTCAAAGATGGAGTCAATTCTTTTCCTTGCTTGTCTATTCTTCATCACTGAGAAAAAATAATGGGAATTGCCATCTCCAAGCTTAATCCAGTTGATCCTAGACTTTTGTTTGAAGATGCTTTCTTGAATATCATTCCATTGTTTAACAACCTTAATAGCATCAGATTCTTTAACATATAAATCCAAATCATCAGGATTCTGAGCCATTAAGTTCTGAATTCCAGCAAGCTCAACATTAGCTTGATCAATCTTCTCAACAATATTGCCAAACTTCTTGCTATTAAGAAACTTAATACTAGACTTCACATAATTAAGCTTCTGACAGATAGAACCACTAGAACACCAAGCTTGAGTAATAGTATCAAGCAAATCAGGATGATCAGCAATACAGTTTAGAAACCTGAAAGGTCTACCTTTCCCAGCAGGAGCAGGACAAATATCTAAAAGAACTGGACTATGATCTGATAAAGAAAGGGGAAGATAGACAGTTTCAACATAACCATGAGAGGCCAGCCAAGCTTGGTTACCAAAGACTCTATCAATCCTAGAAAGAGTTCTAGGACTAGTGTGAGCCTTATTAGACCAAGACTAGAAGGCTCCTTTGCTCTTAATCTCAGTGAGGTCCAAATCATCAACCAAACTTTGGAAATCTCTAGTCTCATAATCAGTAACATCAGTACCATAAAGTCTGTCTGAAGTATGAAGAACAGAATTAAAGTCACCAGCATAGAGCCATGGAGAATGCTGAATAGAGATGTTCCTAATCCCTTCCCACATAGGAAGCCTATCATGAATAGAATGAAGCCCAAACAAGCCAAATCCTCCCTTTAGGAGAATGATCATAATTGTACACCCAAAGCCAAGAAGAGCCAAAATTCTTTTGGTAAGTGAAAACATTTTTTTATTTGACTTTTGTTTCATGAAGGCCAATAACATCAACTGAATGAGAATGAAGTAACCTCTTTACAAAGCCAACTTTGCCAGGGTCATTCAGGCCCCTGACATTCCAGATAGAGTAAATCATGACACCAAAGGGGGATTAACCTCACCCCTTCTTGGATTTATAGTGAAACCACCTGCACCATCCATTTTATTTACAAATAAAGCAACAAAAGCAATAGAGGTAGAAGCAGGATGATTAACCCTAGTTTGCTGACTTTTTGTCTTCCTTCCAACTATTCTCCACCCCTCATCTGAGTTTTGAGAAGTATGAACCTGTGGAGTGATTACAGATTGCCCATGAACAGAAGCATCAACATCAACAACATGAGTAGGAGTAGGCTTAGCAACCCAGACTTGCTGCACTTTAGGAGCTACAGTCACTGACTGCTTGGGAGCTGCAGTCACTGATTGCTTAGGAGCTGTCGGGACTTTGACAGAACAGTCATGGCCCCCTTTATTTCACTTAGAGCAAAAGGGTGGAGTCCATTCATAGACTACCTTAAGTTCCAGAGTTTCCTTCGAGGGGCTTTGCAGAAATACAAATTTAGGCAATGGCTTGGTAACATCAATTTCTATTAGAACTCTAGCAAAGGAAACTCTTAGTTGTCTTGTAGTACATTCATCAGAACAAATTGGTATACCAAGCAAGCTACCAATACGACTAAGAGTTTCAGGGCCCAAACAATTTAAAGGTAAGTTTGGGAACTTAACCCATAATGGAACAGTTCTCAAAATCTTAACACCAAAATCAAATTTAGGACTCCAAGTCTTAATGATTGTTGGTTTTTCCATGAACATATGCGGACCGGAGCAAAGAACAATATCCTTATCACTAACTGAGCAACAATTAATGATAAAATACCCATCGTCATGCCAAAAAATTTCTGGTTTTTTCACATCATTCCATTGTTGAGCTATAAAACGATGAACAGCAACAATAGTAGGATAATGACCAACAACGTAGAAAACTAAAGCATTAGACCATTTCTTATTACCTTCCATAAGTTCAGAATCCTGAAGCTGATCTACCGATTTCCCATTTTAAACCACCAGGGCAACAAAAAACAGGGGAGCTCCCTTAGCAGTCAACTTCCTAGAGAATGAGCTAGGTCGATCTTCACCATCCTTGTGCAAGTTCTGTTCCGGGGGAGGTTTAGAGTGAGAATCAGGAACAACTGGTTCAGATCGATGAGCAGCAGCTCCACCATCCAATGGAACAGTAAACCCAGAAACCCTAGGTACTGTTTTATTGGAAATCGAAGATACTGGTCTAGAAATGGCTTCAGCAAATAGTGCAATAGTTTCAGCATCACTCCGGGGAATAGAACCACAAGATGGATTGACCAGTGTCGGCGCCAGAGTGACAAGCTCATCTACCTCCTGAATCGGGCTTGGAACAAAAGTGGAACCTGATTTTCGCAAATTCTACAAAATTGTATCAGTAGAACTCCTATGTTGTACTAATTAAGGTGTAAAAATGTTCTGCTTCTTCTTCTTAGCCATCGAATATCAAGATTGATGAAGAAACCGATCAAAATCGACTAACCATGGAGAGAGAGAGAAGAGAGAAAGTCAACGAAAGTCAAACCTCATCAATATCTTGACTTTCTTTCAAAAGATTGTCGAATGTGTCTCACATTGATTTGATTCAAATTTCTTTGTTTAATATTTGACTTGAAAAGCTTTATTTGAATGTGTTATACTTTAATTTGATTAAATAAGCTTTGTTTAAATGTGTTTGACTCTCGTTTGATTCAAAAAGCTTTGTTTGAATGTGTTTGACATTCATTTGATTCAAAAAACTTTGTTTGAATGTGTTTGACTTTCAATTGATTTAAAAAGTTTTGTTTGAAGAATTTGACTTTCATTTGATTAAAAAAGCTTTATATGAATGTATTTGACTTTCATTTGATTAAAAAGGATTCGTTATAATGTGTTCAACTTTCATTTGATTCAATTAGCTTCTTTTAATGCATAAGATTTTCATTCGATTCAAAAAACATTGTTTGAATGTGTTTTACTTTCATTAGATTCAAAAAGCATTGTTTGAATGTGTTTGACTTTCTTTCGATTCAAAAAGCTTTATTTAAATGTGTTTAACTTTAAGTTGATTCAAAATCTTTGTTTGAATGCATTTCACTTTATCCAATTTAAAAGCTGTGGTTGAATGTGTTTGACTTTCAGTTAATTGACAATGCTTTGTTTAAATGTGTGTGACTTTCATTTGATTTAAAAAGCTTCGTTTGAATGTGTTCGACTTTCATTTTATTCAATTAGCTTCCTTAAATGCATATGACTTTCATTCGATTCAAAAAGCTTTGTTTAAATGTGTATAAATTTTATTTGATTCAAAAAGCTTTGTTTTGAATGTGTTTCACTTTCATTTGATTCAAAAAGATTTGTTTGAATGTGTTTGACTTTCATTTGATTCAAAAAGCTTTATTCAAATGTGTTAGACTTTCATATGATTCAAAAAGCTTTGTTTGAATCTATTTGACGTTTATTTGATTCAAAAATATATGTTTGAATGTGTTTGACATTCATTTGATTCAAAAAGCTTTGTTTGAATGTGTTTATATTTTAATTGATTTAAACAGTTTTGCTTGAATGCATTTCACTTACATTTGATTTAAAAAGCTTTGTTTGAATGTGTTTAACTCATATTTGATTCTAATGGTTTTTTTGAATGTATTTCACTTTCTTTCGCGTCAAAAAGCTTTCTTTTAATGTAATTGACTTTCATTTGTGTCAAAATCATTGTTTGAATGTGTTTGACTTTCATTCGATTAAAAAAGCTTTGTTTGAATGTGTTTGACTTTCATTTGAATAAAAAGAGATTTGTTTTAATGTTTTCAGCATTCATTTGATTCAATTAGCTTCTTTGAACGCATAACATTTTCATTCGATTCAAAAAGCTTTGTTTGAATGTGTTTGACTTTCATTAGACTCAAAAAGCTTTATTTGAATGTGTTTCACTTTCATTCATTTCAAAAGGCTTTATTTGTATTTGTTTGATTTTCATTTGATTCAAAAACTTGTGTCTGATTGTGTTTGACTTTCATTTGATTCACAAAGCTATGTTTGAATGTGTTCGACTATCATTAGATTCAAAAAGCTCTATTTGAATGTGTTTTACTATCATTCGATTCAAACAGCTTTGTTTGAATGTGTTTGATTTTCATTTGATTCAAAAAGCTTTGTTTGAATGTGTTTGACTTTCATTTGATTCAAAAAGCTTTGTTTGAATATGTTTGACTTTAATTTGATTCAAAAAGCTTTGTTTGAATGTGTTTACCTTTAATTGATTTAAAAAGTTTTGATTGAATGTATTTCACTTACATTCGAGTTAAATAGCTTTGTTTGAATGTGTTTAACTCTTATTTGATTCCAAAAGTTTTATTTGAATGTGTTTGACATTCTTTTGCTTCAAAAATCTTTCTTTTATTGTGTTTGACTTTCATGTCATCCAAAAAGCTTTGCTTGAATGCGTTTGACTTTCATTTGATTCAAAAAGCTTTGTTTAAAGCATTTGACTTTCATTCGATTAAAAAAGCTTTGTTTGAATGTGTTTGACAAAATTTGAATAAAAAGAGATTTGTTTTAATGTTTTCAGCATTCATTTGATTCAATTAGCTTCTTTGAATGCATAAGATTTTCATTCGATTCAAAAAGCTTTGTTTGAATGTGTTTGACTTTCATTAGACTCAAAAAGCTTTATTTGAATGTGTTTGACTTTCATTCATTCAAAAGGCTTTGTTTGTATGTGATTAATTTTCATTTGATTCAAAAAGTTGTGTCTGATTGTGTTTGACTTTCATTTTATTCACAAAGCTATGTTTGAATGTGTTCGACTATCATTAGATTCAAAAAGCTCTATTTGAATGTGTTTTACTATCATTCGATTCAAACAGCTTTGTTTGAATGTGTTTGATTTTCATTTGATTCAAAAAGCTTTGTTTGAATGTGTTTGACTTTCATTTGATTCAAAAAGCTTTGTTTGAATGTGTTTATCTTTAAATTGATTTAAAAAGTTTTCATTAAATGCATTTCACTTACATTCAAATTAAAAAGCATTGTTTGAATGTGTTTAACTCTTTTTTGATTCCAAAAGCTTTTTTTGAATGTGTTTGACTATCATTCGATTTAAACAACTTTTTTTTTGGAAAATAAGAGAAATTTTATTACCAAAAGGAAAATTACAACTTACAAAAGCTAAGTTATAACAAACACCAAACCCCACAAGACCTGAAATACAGGACAACCAACCACCAAACAGTTCAAGCTCAATCTCCTGCCACCTTTTAGGAAGGGTTCAGGAGAAAGAGACAAGAACACCCTGAGCACAAGCTTCCTGCCACCTTCTAGGAAGGGTTCTGGAAACAAGGCCCAAGAACACAAAAACAAGCACAAAGCAACAACAAGAAACACCACCCCTGTAAACTATAAAAAGCAAACCTCCACCTAGACTTAGTTGGAAAAGCAACAAGACTAGAAAAAAGAGGGTACAACACCAATCTAGGGACAACAACAAAACAAAAAAACCAGAAATCAATACAGACAGCACATTGCAACATAGACAGAAGAAGCATAAAGCAGCAGCACAGACTTGCATCATAGACAGCTACAGCACAAGACAGCAACTCCAACAACAGCACCAACACCTGCTGTCAGAACAGCAACAGATCAGCAACAGTTCAGCAATAGAAAGCCAGCAACAGAGCAGCACCTCAGCAGACCAGGTGTTGATCATCACAACAGCATAACAGACAGCAGGGTAGGCAAACAGCAACAGCAACAGCAATAGCAACAGAGCAGCAGGCCAGCAGCAGTAGAAGAGCAACAACAGCCAACCGTAGAGCAGCAGAACATCAGAGCAGCAGAGCAGCAGCAACAACAGACCAGCAGCAGCCAGCAGCAGAGCAACAAAGCTTTGTTAGAATGTGTTTCACTCTTAT